TTCAATAATGATTTTTCATTAAGGAAGCTATTCCTAAAAGGGACTGAGTTTAAGAAAACAACTAGGATTCCAGAAAAAAAATAACAAATCTCCTTTCACAGGATATGGGGTAATTTTCCTGAAGGAACTACATTCTTTTTTGCCCCCTAAGAGAGCTATTCTTAGGGAAGAAAAAAGCACATTTAAAACCCTAAAGTTGATTTCTGAATTAAACTAGTATGTATCATTCTAACATAAAACATACCATTCTGATTGAAAAGAAATCAATACAACTAAGAAGAGAGTTAGGAGGAGGAAATTGCACTTCCCCCCCAGCCCCCCCAAACAGGTACCACTTAGACAAACCCATTAGAAAATGCGTATTTTGGGTCATTTCTAGGTTTGTCTAATCCTAAAACAAATAACCTAACTGAAACAAAAATATATTTTTTTCAATACGCACATCAAAGTGTACAAAGAGACGTACTTTTGCATCCACCAAATTATTAGATGACCAAAAGATCTCAAGACTTACAGAGATGCTGTGTTGCCACTCTCTTACAAGAAGTGGTTAACCTTCCCATGGACAAACTAGCCCCTTTCCAGGTCATGGTATCATCTGAGTTTGTGGCACTACAGCGGGCTTCCATCTCTCTGCCTCAGGACAGCACATAGTGATGGACCATGATGACATGACACAGGGGCAAAGTTATTTTACTCATAGAAACCTTTCACATTTCCAGAGACCCCACCACAAAGCAATCTCCTTTAGATACAGTGCTTTCTGTTTTTGCAGAAGGTAAAAAATGTCCTGGCCTGGTCCTCTGTCAACCTATGGAAACTGGAGAGATGCTCTAGGTGCAAAAAAAAAAAAAAAAAAAAAAAGGTTTTGGGCTGACCAGAAGAGCTCACTTTGTGGGAGACTGGATTCTGCCCATGCATCTAACAGATATCATAAAATATCAGTCAACAATAATTCAGCTGTAAGTTGCAGGCAATAACGATAATCCAGCATCATGTGACAAAGGGTTAATATCAAATAAAGAAGATAAAATCCGCCAGTTAAGGGCAGAAATCAATTAGAGGTTAAAGGTATGTTGATCTTTAATCAGCATCCTGGGTGCAGCTTGTGATCTGTGGAAAGAACCTCAGGAGATTCAACAAGGCCAAGTTCCAGGTCCTGCACCTGGGTCGGGGCAATCCCTGGTATCCGTACAGGCTGGGGGTTGAAGAGATTGAAGAGCCCTGCAGAGAACGACTTGGAACTACTGCTGGATGAAAAGCTTGACATGAGCTGGCAATGTGCAGTTGCAGCCCAGAAGGCCAGTCATATCCTGGGCTGCAACAAAAGAAGCGTGGCCAGCAGGTTGAGGGAGGTGATTCTGCTCCTCTACTCCACTCTGGTGAGACCCCACCTGGAGTACTGCATCCAACTCTGGAGTTCTCAGCACAAGAAAAACATGGACCTGCTGGAGAAGGTCCAGAGGAGGGCCACAAAAATGATCAGAGAGATGAAATACCTCTCCTATGAGGACAGGCTGAAAGACCTGGGGTTGTTCACCCTAAAGGAGAGTAGGCTCCGGGGAGACCTTGTTGGGGCCTTTCAATACTTAAAGGGAGCCTATAAGAAAGATGGGGAAAAGCTTTTTATCAGGGCCTGTTGTGATAGGACAAAGGGCAATGGTTCTAAACTAAACAAGGGTAGATTTACACTAGACATAAGGAAGAAATTTTTTTACAATAAGGGTGGCGAAACACTGGCATATGTTGTCCAGAGAGGTGGTAGAAGCCTCATCCCTAGAAACATTCAAGATGAGGCTGGATGGGGCTCTGAGCACCCTGATCTAGTTTAAGATGTCCCTGCTTACTGCAGGGGTGTTGGACTAGGTGAACTTTAAAGGTCCCTTCCAAGCTGTGATAGTTTAACCATTCTATGAGTCTATGAGCTAAATATTGTAATAATGAACTGTTGCTGCCATCTACTGAACACAAGAATTATGTACTACACAGCTTTACAATTTGGCTAATCACATGTGAGACTGTTTGCTTGGCTGGATTAAGTAAAATTTCTGTTTCATTAGAACAATAATGTTTGTTTCTAGATTATGTTCAGGACATGAATCTGCTTTAGAGAATATCTGTTTGCCTTTGGGGAATACTGAATTTGGGGAATTGTGAAAAGTGAGATTTGTAAAGAGCATACATAGCTCACATAATGTGAAACACATTGCTATTAATGAGAAAGAGTTACTAGTTAGAGCTGCAAGTTTTTTAAAATCTTAGTACACATTAGCTTTTATTTAATAATATCATGCAGAACTCCGTCATCTTTGCTGAGGATGAATACCTGCCCTCACATTGCAGCTGTGGTGTAGATGAAGGAGCTTCCAGTTGAAAAAGTGCTGGCTTTGACACTGAATTTCTACTAGGATGTTGAAGAGTGGGACCAAGGTCAAGCAGGCTGCTGAGGAAGTTCTAGCCAGCAAGAGTTATCTCAGCCCCAGTGCTTTGTTTTATCCAGGGACTGAACCTGTTCCTGTATGTCCCAGAAGCTGCTGCTAGATATAACGAGAGACATTCAAAGATACTCATACACTTAAGCATGACACCTATTCAAAAAAAAAAAAAAAGTACTAACACACTAAACAGCAACAAAGTCACTAAGTGCTAGAAATACAGTACTATCACCTGGTTGCAATATATAAAAAATATATGCATATCTTTCTTACCTGCAAAGTATATATGTGGACACTCACAGACAAATTCAACCTTGCAGGTAAATAAGACCATATTCTGTACTTACTTCAGTGGTGGTTGGACACATTTGCTTCAAAGATGTCTTTGGTTTATTATGGGTCACAAGAAGGCTGGAAATTGCAGCGGCAGAGTGGCAGATAGCAGGGGACCCTGCTGATCTCACCTGGCACTGCATTTAGTCAGGTGTCCAGGCACACACAACTCAACAGTGCAAGAACTTGCTTTTGCGTGAGACCCGAGACTGTTGGCTACAATAATAGTCACTTCTGTCCAAGACAGCAAAGGGATTTAAAGAGATAAATTATTATGAAAATCTGACTCTCTTTCTCAATTCGCATTAGAGCACGTCAGGAGTGAAAGGACTGAATTCAACAGCACACCAACGTGAAAATAGTGAGAATAGCAAATTGGCATCAGTCATCTGTATTCTTCTGCAAAACTACAAATTTCCACACGAGGGAGCTTCTTGCCCACGAAGCTCACAGCTACTGCTCAGGGAGCTTCCTTCTGGAAGGGGTGACAACCACTTCTGCAGATTGCAGCCTGCTAAGGGTCCCAGCGAGAGCCGGGAATGAAATGGTTAACAGGTGATGATTGTCAGAGGTTGTTAACTACAATTATTTCCAAGACATATGCAAATCTATATAAATACCTAAGTGTGGTATATAATCTAAAACACACTGTTTAAATCTGTAAGCATTCCCGAGTTAATTTCACTATGGGAACATTAGTCTTGACTTCCTGACTTCACTGTGTTTGAATTCATATCCATGAAAATTAATTTAAAATTAGTCTAAATATTTGTTGAGAATTAATCACCTGATAAATTTAGCTCTTTTTCATTTTTATGAATTATTCATTATCTCTTTTCTTTTCCGTTGATGTGTTGGTTACTTGCAAGAATTGGATTACTAGTTCATGCTAAAAAAATGCAGCATTCATGGTGATTTGTAAAATGTTCCCCTTTGAAACTTGGCCAGTGACTACTGACAGCATTTGTTTCTACCGCAGATATTGTATAATAATAATTTGCTTCTTGAGGACACACTGGAGTTTTTAAAATAGGCATAAGGAAGTTCATACAGCAAATAGTCTGCAACAATTTTTTTTCTGTTTATGTCTTGCATAGATATCATGGATGTTCCTACAAAGGAATCTTCTATCAGTAAAAGCCTGTTGGTGGGAATGTTTGGGAACAGTATGATGCGGTGTGACTGCAGGAATGAACAGTGATGTAAAAACTGTTATCTGGAATACAAAAAGCTCCAATTCCACAGTCCTATCATAGAAAATACCTGAGCTTGCCAAGAGAAAAGAATAATTCTGTTCTAGGGTGGCCTCAGGCAAGGCTGGATTAAAAACTATCAACCACCAGATGTTATTAAGAGGAACAAACCTTCTAAGGAAGGTGGGAACAAGAATCCTTAACATTAGACAGTTCAAATGTGAAGTGATTTGTGCACCTCAAGCACATAGAGGACCATCTCTCAAACCTTACAGTCTGCATTCAACAAAAGCAGTGGAAGACCAGATTTTCTGAATAGAGCTTACATTCCCAAGTCTAGTACTGGAAGCCTGATTTCTGGCCGCCACTCATTAAACAAATCTTTACCATAAAATTAATTTACTAGCAAACATCATTTCCCTTCTTTCAACTTACTGAAACAGATAACATCTTGAACTTCCCATCGGGTGGTGCCTTTATATTTGTTACTTTCAATCTCAGTTTGTTACTATTAATTAAACAACAAATCAGAAAATTACTTCCAAAATTGTGGAAAAAGCAAAACCCCCAGAACACACCCTCATGTGGCTAGTAACTGGTACTAGCACTTGCAAAACATCAAAGGCTTCTCTAAACATAGACTTTCATCAGTGACACTGCAAGCCTTCATCTAATCTTTCATGATTTCCTATGCAGGAACATCAAAAGAGAAAGAAGAGAATAGCACTGTTCCAAAGCAACAGTGCTCTGTGTGAAAAGTATGTGTTTAGCTACAACACACATAAAATGTAAGTGGGAGATTATTATTTACATGAGACATATTTTAATAAACATCATCATTAGCTCCCTTTCTTTTCCTATAAGGAACAAGGATTTGTGCAGTTCAAAATCATGTCCAAAGCTCAAGGGATTTCTGGAAGAAAATGAAAAAGAATTAGAAAGTATCTAACGTAAAAGTCTTCAAAGCAAGGAGATCAATTTATTTTCGTTTTTACTTACTGAAACACATTCTGCATATTTTATTGTTTCTGTCATCTTGTTATAATTCATCCAAAGAGTTTTCAAAGAACATTAAGTCCTACAAATAAACAAGCTATGAATGGTAAGGAAGGTACAAATATGCAACAATTACTATCAAAAGTCTTACTTGTAGGATTTTTTTACATAAAGTGATGAGATAGTCAATCATTTTCTATTACTCTGCCATGAAGCAAGAGGAGTTTTGGAGGACACAATCCAAAAATCTTAAGTGTCATGAAGATTACATTTTTAACCTAATCAAAGCAAAATATCTGAATTGTTGTTGCTATTTTAAAGCAAATGCTTTCCAGTGAATAATTTAAATAGTTTTGTCCTTTTGTTTTATAATCTCTGATATAAGCATCACAGATGATTTTGAAAGCATCACATGTTAATATTACACATCAGTATTGGCAAAAGATGTTCACTACAAATATCAATTTGTAATTCTAGAAAGCATGCATCTTAACTTCATATTTACCCCTAGTGGTGAGTATTCTCCTTTTCATTTAATTCTTCTCTTACAATTATCTTTACAAGGGAATTTTTGTAGAAAATTTCATATGACCTGAAGGTCTTACATGTAACATTTGACAGAACTATTGAAGTGGCCCTCACTGTTTGAAATTATCATTAGAAATAAAGTAACTTCTGTTTTGGTTCAGGTACCCATTCAAACACAACAGATAGGGGGCTGGGGGAGTCTGGTAGGTTTGACATGTACATTGATACTGATTCTGCCATGCAAGATGTTGAATTACATGTGGAATACTATTTAAACAGTTGAATTAAAAAAAAAAAAAAAGGAAAAGTTAGGAACCCATAGATGCTCAGCAAATATGAAAAACACAAAAGCAGCCATAAAAATTAAAAGGGTTTCAGTTAACTTTTTTTTTTATGTAGCAAGTTTGGCTTTCCACTGTACTTCTGCCTCTGTAGGATCACAGTTGATAGCAAAGAAAGGCCCCTTTGGTCCCAGTCTGCCCACCCCTATATGCCTACCTCTTGGTTTTGCATACTTACAATGAGGAAACAAGCACCAATCATTACCGCCTTGATTCTCACATCAAGATCTACAGGGACCTGGATCCCAAAGTTGGCGGTGTTGGTAAAGACATTGTTTACAAATCCAGACCAGTACTTGGAAATTTTTCCAATTGTTGACATCTCATTGAGAGCTTTTACCTGCACAAATAAAAAATAGGAATACACCTAAATGTAAATAGATCAAGTACACACTGACTATACATCCACAGAAATGATGACTTTGCCTTGACACACAGAGTATGCTATAGTTGTCAGGTTCTTCTTTTATTCTTATCATTGAGATGCTCTATTAGTGTCAGATTTGCCTTTGAGAGTGCACACAAGAAAGGGTCTCAAGTTTGGAAACATCAGCATCTTTAGAGCTGATAGAAAAGTGGCGGAAAGCAATTGTGAAAGTTTATACCACTTTCGTTCTTCTTTCACAATGAATGTTTTTCTTGTCTTGAGTTTCTGATATGCTTCAAGTCACAGCAGTACTATTGCTGTGGACCACTGTCCCCTACAACTGACAAATATGTTTATTAGGCAGCCATCTGCCTATTTCTCTCAGAGTACTGAAATTTCAGACAGTACCCACAGTCTGATTTGGCTAACAAGTTGATCAACACAGAAGTTCTTAGGATTCCTTAACTAAGGCTAAGCGCTTTGTTCACATCAGAAAACTCTGTCCAGGGTTGCTTTGAGCATCTCCCATTCTTCTTCTCATCTCTTAAATATCTCAATAGCTCCTCAGAATTATTTTTGTCCTGATGAATGTTGTCAAATAGATGCAGACATACTGGACAGTAATCCTGCCTGTGGTTCTCAGTCTGAGAGTAACGAAGGCAGCAGACTCAATGCAACAGGCTTCAAGGAACTGTGTGTCAGGTAAGAGTGAATACATGTTGGATGAAACCCTGAGCCTACCAAAATCAATGGCTGAGCGCTCACAGACTGCAGAGGACAAGGACTTCACTTAGTGATGTGTTTATTTCCTTGAAAGAATTGTCACTCCTGTCCAGAAAACATCTGTAGGAATCTGACTATACAAGTCAGGAACTCCAACACACATTGTTGTACTTCTGTTCCATAATTATAGCAATATAGATAATATTTTTAAGGGTAGAAAACCAGGATTTTTGAATGAGAAATTTATTCAAAGTAGTAAAACTTTCAAATTCTTAACACTCATAAGAAACATACCTCAAAGTCAACATCTTCAAAACAGCCACAAGTTGCATATGGACCAATTATTTTTAGTACATCTTCTTTACTTTCATTCTGTATAGTAAATTTTGGCAGAAAAGGGTCCCAGTTCTGTACAACGTACCCAGCTACTGTACCTGGTGGAGACTGAACTTCTAACTAGCAAACAAGAGAACAAAAAAAAAGTCTTATAAACTAATTTTATTTTGGTATGTTTGTATATTTAGCATACACAATAATAGTGTATTGTTTATATAATGATAAAATATTTATTTATTGAATATAGCTACATATAATTTTACCAAACTGTGAACTGGATATTACAAGGCTGTCTAATGTTTTTAAATACAGTGGACAATATGAAGTTCAAAAGCTGCACCAGAAGCTAACATCTTACTTATAATAAAATATTTGATAAAAGCTATATGCTGTGAAAAGTTTTTGTCATTGTAATCAGTAAGTATTCTATAAGCTTTTTTGTACAGTATCTGTGCTTCCAAAGGACTTTTTTTTTTTTTTAATCCTGACACAGTACTGAGAAAGTAGGTACATGAGTTAACCTATAAAACATTTTCATAAAACAAGAAAGATCTGAACAAAGGAGAATCAAAAATAAGGAGAAAAGATCTGATACTCTGTAGGATCTGCATTTTTTCACTCAAAGCAGCTTATTTCCAAGTTTTGCAATTTCCCAGAGAGATATGGCCTTGAAGAGGCAGAGCCACAGAGTGAAGCATGGGTCTCCTCAGAGAGCTGCTTCCCAGTCCTACCCACACATGTTAACAGCCTCCAGAGATTGTCCATCCTTCACGCTCTGGGAGTACAGAGGGTGATTTCCGTCTGTAGCACTAACAGACCTTTGCCTGTGCCAGGGTAAGCAGTGGTTTGGGATGTTACCTGACTGGAGACACCTCTGCATCATCAGACATAAAAGCTTTATTTGGGATGTCAGGAAAATACGGTCCTAGGAAAGGGAGGAGACATGCTGGGAAAGTGCCTAGTAGAAGGGCCTTATTTATCAATAGTTACTTCTAAACAAAGGTCTCCACACAGTCCCCAGCTTGAGGGGTGGGTGTGGATTCCTTCCTGCCACCCTCACAGAGGTTGTACAAGGTTTCATTAATGTGGACATACAGCGAGATGCTCAGACAAAAGGTCATTGGGATTCACTCACCTCTTGCAGGAAACAGGGGAACCAGCAGCTGTTGCATCTCAAGGGTCTGTTCACCGTAATCACTTCTCGGCCCGTGTTGTCAGCAATCCTTATGGTGAAAGACCTTATAGGCGAACACAAGTTACGATCAAAGCAATTGTTTTCTTCTACTGCAAAGTAAACTCTTTGTCCCAAATGGTTTTTTATCTCATATTTGCTGGAGGTCTCTGTACCAAGTATGGCTAATAAAGCAAAACAAGTAGAACATTACCACAACATAATGTTACTATATATATTTTAGTATATACTCTAAACATCTATGGAACAGAGCCTATTTAAAATTTGTTTTAAAATAATGACACAAAGAAAATATACAATTATAAGGAAATAATAATGTCAGGTCTGTATTTTGAAGGAACATTTAGTTCAAAGACTTCGATTTGCTGTACACTTAAGGGCTGGACCACCTCTCCTACAAGGACAGGCTGAGAGAATTGGGGATGTTCAGCCTGGAAAGAGAAGGCTTAAGGGAGATCTTATAGCAGCCTTCCAGTACCTGAAGGGGGCCTACAAGAAAGCTGGGGAGGGACTTTTTACAAAGGCAGTTAGTGATAGAACAAGGGGTAATGGCTTTAAGCTGAAAGAGGGTAGGTTTAGATTAGATATTAGGAAGAAATTCTTTACTGTGAGGGTGGTCAGACACTGGAACAGGTTGCCCAGAGAAGTTGTGGATGCCCCCTCTGTGGAAGTGTTTAAGGCCAGGCTTTGAGCAACCTGCTCATGGCAGGGGGATTGGAACTAGATGATATTGAAGTCCCTTCCAACCCTAACTTTTCTATGATTCTATGAAAGTACATGTCACAAAACAAAATTCAGATCCTGAGTTTTGGTTTGGGCGTTTTCTTACTTTATCATCTGTGAAATGTAGCAATATGAGGCTGTCCCACTTCTACAACAAGACTTTCACTCAGCAAGGAGTCCAAGACACAGACCAAAAATGTTTTGAATAGGGGAAATATATTTTTTTAAAGTTTTACTTGCAGAACTTTATACTTTTTTAGTACTTTTAAATTCTGAGGAACTATGTAAATAGAAATTCTTATGTTTTATTTTGTGTCTTCTGACTTTATTTGCTTTGTTTCTTGTAGCATGTTAATTATTAAAGACAATTTTTTTCATGGATTGAAAGATAGTTAAACTTTAGTAACTTTGAAAAGGAGGTGTCTGAAGGAGAGAATTTAGGACTGGTGTAGAGATTACTCACTGTAATCTTTCTGTCCTCATTGATTTGCTGACAAACAGGTGTAAGGAAATTGAGCTTTCACCACACCAGTGACATGTTACAAGCCTGACACAAGGTCAGCAAGAGGTTTCGCAATGACTTCAAGAAGTTAGGGGCAAGACTTGGAAGCCTTTTGGAGACATCTGTGTACCAGCACAGTTGAGAAGTGACAAAAATTCCACCATACCTTCAAGAAGTTCCACTTGCTGATGAATAATTATCCGGTCCAACTATTTAAAAAAAAATATAAATAAACAAGATGGTGGGTGATGGAAAGGTCTGGGGCTGCCAGTGATTATCTATTTTTATTGCTCATCATCCTGTTATTAGAATTTCTTTCCTTCCAGCAGTGCACAAGCTGGGTGCCTGTGGGCTATTCTTAAGTCTTACTTTAGACATCTCTCTGAAATGATGACTGAAGAGTGTGATATTGGGTGCTGTGGTCATGTAATTCACTTGCATGTTTGAAGAAAAAAAATCTTCACTGGTGGAATGAGGAAGCCAACAGCAATGGAAAGATGTGTGTGAGAAGCAGGACCCACTTCTCACTCCTGTTCTTCCCTCCTTGTCTTGGCAGAGGGGAAGCCCCTTACCCCAAAGCTAAGGTTAGTTCTGGGCATCATGGCAGTGCAGGAGTGAATGAGCTTGGGCTCAAGCTCAAAACGTGCTGTAGCCACATCCCAAAGGGCCTCGCTGGAGCAGCCCAGCAGGGCCATCAGGTGTTGCTAATGACAGTAGACACAAGTTTTAACGCTCTGATCTCAGGCAATGGGAGTTCTGCACCCCAAATCTAGCAAACAGTCACATCAGGGCACCAGAACAACAAAACAACAGCTCCCCAAAGAAATACTTGGCTGGCTGAAACTGTCTTCCCCTGTGAGCTGGTTACAAATGCAGGAGAAAAAACTGTTCACCAGGACACCCATCTTTCCTGTGCTCATCGTCCTTCCAACATTATTCTTTTTTGGAGAACGGTCATTAGTATTATAAAAAGCAGAAAGACTTAATTTCAGTCTACCTTTCAATTTTATGTGACTTCTTATGCCTGTTTTATGTGATAGTTCAGGCTTTGCTAATCTCTTTTTCTTAAATTCCTGATGGGCAAACACTTGGCACAGGATTTTGCCGTTACTCACAGCTGCAGACAGAAAGCACACAGCGACCTTCTGAGACCAGCATGTCACAGCTCTCCAGCATCTGTATATTTTACAATTGATAAATCTTGCCTGGTACATATTCAAAATGTTGCAGCCATTTGTCAATTGTAGTCATCTCCTGCAGCTAGTTCAGGCTGCAAAGAAAAGCTGGTAAAATAGAAACTTCTTTATCCCTTTCATTAATCTCTGAAATGTGCATGCCAGTAACTGAAATAATAAAAAATATTTGGACTTAAAAATTTTCTCCCAAGAATCTTTGCTGTTTGTTGTTTAGGTTTCATCAGATGTGAACTCTTTGAGCTCATGAGAAGTTCTCTGCTGATGAAAAAAGAAACAAGTTAAAGATAGTAGGGCTATTTTAATATTTTAGTATTGATTTTAATATGGATTTCTTTGCTCCACATAGACTTTCACAGTGAAAAGAAAATTAATGAGCCTGAACTGTTAAAAGCTTTGAGTGATTTTGATCTGTGTATTCATTTATTGTGAACAATGTATAAACAATGTTGAGACAATGTGGCAGTACCACTTGTTAGGCTTATTTTGGTTTTCACTGGTTTCTGCAGGGCAGCTATTCTGATACATCTTTTATCAGGGCACTTGTGGATTAAGGAAATTCTGCACTTGCATTTGAAAATATCAATAGCCCTTTGGTTTACAAGGGTCTGAGTCCTCTTGAACTCAAATGTGTTAAAATTCCTTCTACACAGCTATCCAGTTTTGTGGGCGTTAAATTTGCATATAATCAGTCTAACCAAGTATAAACTAAGAAGCTTCTCACAAAATTGGTTAAGCCTGAATGATGCCATAACATGCTGTTGAGCTACGTGGAAAATTCTCAGAGATCCCTTCTGTCTATTCCTGTTATAGGAACAGGTTCCCTCAATTTTTGTGATGGGCACTGGCCAATTCCTTGAACTATGGCTGTGATCTGGAAGATAATAATGAGGTGTTCATAAGAAATTGCTTGAAGAGAGTCTCTTTTTTGATAACAATTGAAAACATAGTATCAGTTTGCCAGGGCAGAAACAGTTTATTGCCCTTCTCTGGTGCCCCTTGAACTGCCGAGTGAGTTGCTTCTCAGCCTGACTGCCTCTGGGTGTGTATTTACAGAGTGAAATATTGCTGTCTGGCCTTAACGTACATGATAGATATTTTCTTTTCCTCTCATCCAACACTATATGCTGTGTCCTTGAGCTGCTGTTTACAATAAGACTGTAGGGATCTCTGAGATTTGCTAAATTTGGATCCTTGTTTCAAAGACGTCATGGTCTTATTAAGAAATATATTCAACATTCTCAAATCTATTCAGCTATTTTCCCAGCTCCTGCTGGAGACAATCTCAGAACTTCATTTCTATTTTTTATCCTGTATTTATTCACAACCACTCTATACAATCTTTCTTCTGGTAATATCATTCTACAAATTAAATGTCTCTTTTCCCCACAGGTTGTTTTCTTCTCTAGCTGTCACAGTTCCTCTCTGGTAACATTTTGTTAGTCTAAAGATGAAACACTGAGAGTCTTGTTTTAAGCAGGTTCTCTATTTCCCATGTCCTTCCAGTAGCACCTCTCTGTGCCTGTTTCAATTTGGACCCACCTTTCCCCAGTACACACACCACCAGAAGGATACACAGTATTCCAGTCTTCCCAATGGCATCAAAAATTTTCAGTTCTTCTAGAAACTTCTTCATTCATTTGAAGCTGGGATTCATTAGTCTGTTGGGATAAATCCCAAAGGATCACCCTGGCAGATGTGAATCCCATATTCATTCTGCAGGCAGCCCTCTCCCTGCTGGTCAGATCTCTTTTCTGCTGCAATCTATCCTGTACGAGCTTGTTTCATTAGTCACACAGCCAGTATGACTTCAGCATTGCACACCAAAATGTTCTGCAACACATGGAAAATCTAGCTGTAGGTGTATGCCAATAATCAGCATTGCACACAGGCTTTCCACTTTTCAGACTGCAGAGAAAATTGAAAATAATTAACGAGGGCTGCAGCACAGACACACAGTTATTGGGCCAAGAAGAAGCATGAATGAAGTCTTGAGTTCTAGTTGTAGTTCTGACAGTCACTTGCTTTTTTGACTCTATGTCGGATAATATGCAGTAATAGAATTTGCTTGCTGACATTGTACGGGTAAATCTGAGGTATAATTCATGTTTGTACGGGAGACTGAATATGTAACCTGCCAAGTATTTACTATCACAATCTCTTTTAGACTAAAAAATGTAGCTCCACAGTCTGTGAGCAAATGCTCATGTAATTGACAACACATATCATTTTGTGCATGGGCACCATGAAATGAAAATCATAACTCCAAGTGAAAGATTGTTTCTGAAGGGTCTCCCAGTTCATTAGCTAGCTGGGTAACTTAGCTCCAAGTATAAAATACTTTCAATTTCTTCTCCTGCACAAAACTACCAGAAATGTATATCTAAAATACAGACCTTGAGTGAAATAAACACTTCCTGGCACCACCAAAATACAAACACAGCAGAGGCGGGGGTATCAGAATCACAACCTGGCCATACTGGGGGCCTGATTCTACCCCTGCCCACACCAGGCAGAGTGTATGCAGTGTTACTCAGCACATATAAGAATGGCAGTATCCAGCCGCATGTCAAATGCAAACTGGAGTCAGTGTAAAAGTGGCAGCAGCAGTGGCCCTCCAAGTAAAAAGATGCAGGATGAGATGACATTTCTGGAAAAGAGCTGGAGACCACTACCAGCCTGAGCTCCAGGAGCTGAGAGGGACAGCTGCACATTTAGCAGTAGGACTGAGAAAACTTCAGCATTCCCTTTCCCTCCCCTGCCTGTGACCTACTCATCTGCTTCCATTTGAAGGCACTTCCCTCTGTCAGGCACTGGTGCTCTCCTGCACCACAACACAGCCCAGAGTGGGTGGGGGTTAGTAGCCACCCAGGCTTGCACTCACAAAGTAACCTCCATGGGAGCTTGCCTCCCCAGGACCTTACCCCTAACCTGGAGAGCCAGAAGGAGTTTGCTCAGAAATGTTCATCCATGTTCCTTAAAGGATGGGTTTATAAGAAGGTGACAATTCCTTCACACACTACCTATTTCAGTCTGGTCAACCAGAGTTTGATAGCCATTTCCCTGAGAGTGAGCTCTTAAGGAGCTGGAAGGAAACTTGGGGGACAATCAGAGGGGTATTACTATAACCTAGAAAAAGTCCTAGAGGGAAGAAAACCATGGTTTTGGTGCAAGGAGAGCTGCTTGTGTAACTAATAGATTAATATAGAAATTAATGGCAGCAGTGAAGGAAGGGCTTATCATTCTTATGTTCCTTATTTCCTAGTAATATCAAATTAAAAAAGCCTCTCCATCTCCACTTGTCCTCCCAAGAAAAAACCCAAACAATCCCATCCCGCAAGATGTCAAAGAAGTCTATGAGGAAAACAAAGCAATTCTAACATTTGGAAAGATTCAGGACCTGGTTCAGGTACTCCAGACCAGGTGGCAAGCTATGAGTGTGTGATGTTTGCTTCCAGAGACTTGTTGGTTCAACATGCTTATTCTGTTCTGGAAAGTCAGAAGAACCAGGGAGGTAATCCTTAAAGGTTGGGTTTGTTTGTTGCTGAGACTCTGCAGGAAAAAAAAAAAATAAAATAAAATTAAAAAAATCAGAAATTAACAGGGCCAAAGAGCAGCTAACTGCTTGGATCAAAACTGGAACAATAATGTCATATTATACCTGTGATAATATCAGCATCTTAGTTTAGATCATGAGCCAGGGTTTGAAACGTGCCTCCTGGTGGCTCCCCACTTTAAGTATGTTGGTTCATTTTATAAAGGAGTCTTGGAGTATGCAAGGTGGGATCACTTTAGATGAAACTAAAGCAGGAGATGTGGTCTTGGAGGGCACACAATCCACTCCAACATCTTGGGAGCATTCAGTCTATGGGACAAGGGTGGAGGTGGTTTGGACAAGGTGGCCACAAGGTCCTCAGCACAGGTTGCTCAGCTCTACTTCCCATGAGCTGCCCTGTGTGCTAATGTGCACCAAGCAGCTCAGGGCTTGCTTCTAGCAAGATGCTTTCTAGCATCTTGAGGACATGCATATTTGCTTTTAATTAGAGATAACCTTTCCAGGGATCTCACATTACCCAAGCTGGATGTTACCCCCCTGGTATCAAAGTCTACAGCCTCTTACAATGTTAAAGATAATTCATTATTGTCTTAATTAAAAGATCAGACATAGTTAGGCTGTGTTTTCTGGTTTACTATTGCAAACACGTCCTTTAGGACACAGTGATGGTTACCTTGGCTGGTGCTGGGAAGATAAAAAGAGTATTTACTGTTACAGGCACCTATATGCCCACAGCCCTGCACAGGCACAGGCACCATATCCCACAGTGCAGTGACCATTTTAGCCATTTGCTTCTCAGCAAACTCGTACTGGTTTTACTACGAGCATCTGTCCACAGCCTTCTGTAACACTGGTTCTGCCAGAACAAGAGCGAGCAAGCTGAGGCTCTCCTCATATCAACGGCAAATCCTTGTATTAAGCTGAGCCCCCTGCACTTTGGCAGTAAAGCAGTCCCCAAAACAATCATTTTTATCTCATGTGTGACAATACTTAGGCACGATGGGGTTTGAGGTCCAGAAGGAATTTTGGCTCCAGGTCTGAAGCTCTCTTTGCTGTTATGGGTTTAAAATGAGATCCTTTTGCATTATTTGAACTCACTGTGGCTGATTCATCCTTCAATCATATTTTGATCTTAATTTGTCTTTGCAGCCACTGCTTTCTTTCAAAGTCTGAGACCACAGGAAGAAGAAGTAAACCCTTTGAATTTGTAGCTGGCTTTTAAAAATGTATAACTGGGTGATAAATATTTTATACGCTCTTCTGCATCATTTTACCTCACAGGGTTCTGTTACTGCCATAACTCTTGTTGCTACACAAAATGCCATGAAGTGGCCAAGTGTTAGTGTTATTCTCAAATAATAAAGAGAAAAAAAGACAACAAATTGCAGTTCTACCTGTCAAACTTTAAGCTATACAAAAATCAAACAGTAAATACATTAAATATTGATGACAATCCAAGATACTCTGACACTTTGTCTCTATTTGTGGATGTTTTCCACTTCATTTATGGTATAGGAAAACTTAAAAGTTGCAGTATGATATAGTGAACATTCTGTACAATCATAATTTGTAGCTTTGCTTGTTCCTAAAAGAAGTATGTTATCAAGTTCCTTCATCATGAAAACCATATTACACAACAGACTATTTTGCTGCTTCTGTTAACTACTATGCATTAAAAATATACAAAACCACATCTCTTTTGTATGGTTAAAGGTAAGAAAAATGCATACCCCTCGGGGAGACAAATGTATATTCCAGTAGTACAACAATGCTGTAAAACCTGCTTGCTGCTGTATCACTTTTAGTGTTGTAAATGCAGAGTGTCTTGACTATTTAGGGCAAAAAAGGAGGGGTAAACATTTGGCAAACATAAACAGACACTGCTGGAACTCCCTGGGCCAACATCTGCCTCTGTACATCGCAACAGGGTGACCTCTGCGGAGTTGCATTCATGTTAAGAAAAAATAGATTTGTGTTCTTCTGCCTGGTTTAAGTATTTGAAAGCATGCAAAAAATGAATTTAGAAGGCTGGTTAGATCAGTATACTGCAATGTTTGCCTATAGCTCTGAGTACCCAACCGGCTGCAGCTGAAAGAAAATGTGCGACATAGATGAATCCTGATAGGAGTAATCTGACTAAATTCAGTTATTCTTCAGATATTTTTTTTCTTATGTGGTTGTAGCAGGACTCTGACCAATTCTGAAAGTTAAAAGCATTTGCTGATTTGAAATTTTCAAAGTGCAATAGGAAAGAAGGGTGCAAAAATAGTGGCACCCTTGACTGCTCAGCACCTGCACTTCCCACGCATCCTGTACCGACAGGTTTAAGCACAAAGATACAAACACTAAGCTTTCTGATTGAATGCAGATGCCAAGATTTTGTAACATATTTTATTCAAATAGCATTCTAGTATAGATTTTAGTCTCCTTAGGAGCCCCTTGTATGCTGAAAAATTAAAGGAAGCCAAAACAACTGTGCTTCGGCTGATGTGGTTTTAGCCTGAAACTCTTATTTCATCAGACTCTTGATTGCTGGAAATGTACAAGCCTGTAGTTTTCTGTAAACATGATCTGAAAATACAGACTATAGATGCACTTACCTTGAGAGGCCATGAAGCTTCCTGAGTTACTTCTTCAAAGGAAGCCAGGTTAAAAGAAAAGGTTTTTCTTGTTGCAGCAAAGAAAAAAAGAGCACAGCATGCACAAAACTTCAGAAGGTGTCTGTCTACTTCATATCAGCTTACAAAGAACTGGAGGAAATGTATTGCCTTTCTCATGTTCCAAACCACTGCATTTTATGTCGACGGACAACAGGGGGAGATGATGCTAACAAACAAGAAAAACATTATTCATTTCAAGTCATTTGCACCAATGGAAAGAGGAAAAAAGTGTTTTGTGAATATAAAGAGGCAAAACTTCAATGTACCCACTGGCTAACTGAACACATTAGACCTAAAATTCTGCTTTATAACATATGTATATATTCTGAGACTACACAAATTCTATCTTTATAATTCAATATTTATGTTTCTGTCTCTTCGGGGTATCCAGTAAAGACAGAGGAGCTAACTACCTGCATTTCCCTGCTTCTGGCCCCCAGTCAACATTTCCCATGCACAGACCAGAAAAAGCTACTGTGGATTTCTCTCTGTATTCCATCCGCATAGCACCAGACTCCCCTGCAAGGGAGGGCCAGACCCAGAAAATGATCCTGTACCCTGCCACTGCCCGCACACACACACCCCCCTATGCAGGGGTCTACCAATCTATGTGAGGTGTTTAAACTGGATTTGGAGAATTAAAACAGCTTGGCTGTGCTTTGCTCCAGACAAGCACTGTCCATACCAAAATGCAACACATGTAATCACCCGCATTGCACTGAGAAGAGAGGAGGAAGAGGAGGGAGAGTAATCTTGACTTACCAGCTCATGTTTCTGCCTCAAGTGCCCAAGTCGCCATGGAGATCATCACACACATGCAATCTGCAGACAGTTATGATGAATGGCTGCAAAAATGGCAGAGCCTAAGCACAGAGCCTGGCAGAGCAGAGTGAGGTGTTGGGGACCATTTTCTGTTCTCTCTGCTACTACAAGTCCCACTGATTTGAAATGATCTGTAGGAGCATGTTCAAGCAGATTTAATTCCAGAGCTTACAGTTCAGGAAGATGCTGATGAGGATCTCTGAATGAAGAACACAGAAAACGCCTCTTAAAAAAAAAACAAACCAAACCAAAACAAAACAAAACAACCTGGAAGCTGATTTTTATTAAATATATTAGTCCATGCAATGGCCCCACGTCTACCTAGGGAAAATGTAAAAATTTGGCTATGCGAAACTTCCCAAGAGTTTATCATTGCCCACTTCAGAAGTCCCTGGGTGCAGTGGTAGCACAGCCTGACCCAGCTGTTGGTCCCTGCTGCGCTCACCCCTGGAAACACCATGCGAAGGGAGAAGGCAGCCCACAGACAAAAACTGGTTGCTGAAAAATGGCACTAGACAAATCCTTCTGAGCTGGGAAGAAGTTTGATGTGACTAGAAATAAAGACTAAGAATCACTAAAATTTTTTGCTTCCTTTCTCCCCATCAAAGACTTGCTCCTTTGGAGCAGGGGAATCTAAGCTGGAGAGCAGACACAAAGCCTAAGCACAGACGAAAAAAGGAAAGGGAAAGCTCTGGATAAATGTAGTAAACCTAACATTGAAAATGATGGATGAAAACTCAGATAAGATAGCACCCCTCTACCTTTAAAAATTAATAAAGACTTACTTTAGTTCCCAGAATACCAAATAAAAAAAAAAAATTCTCAATAATTCTGTCAATGTCTAAAGTGTAATACTGTAAGAAAAATGTGCCTAAAATAGACAACATATATACACTGAAAGATGATGTTTCAAATGTTTATATTAAGCACTTTTGAGAAGTCCAAGCAGCTCACTCACTGACCTGGAGGAACGCACAGACACCAATGCAGCCTGTCTGTGCTGCAGTCCGTACCTGTAGCACAGGACCAGTCCCACCAGTCCCACAGCATTTGCAGGCTCTGGAACAGGTGGTGCTGGGACCTGCTGGCACTGTGGCACTGGCGCCCAGACAAGATCCACCACGGTGGCACAGGCAGGTCCACCTGGCTGCAGGAGACAGGTTTCATTATCCTGCCACTTATGAAATAAACATTTCCCTGAAACAGTTCTACCCCAAAGAACTCATTTTCTGGCATTATTTTAAAAATTGCAGTAAATACATAATAGAAAGATATAAAACCTGGCTTGAAGTATATTCTATGTTTTTCAATTACTTTCACAATTTTTGATATATTTTAAGATGTCCTCTCTTACCCTATTCTTGTTTTATTCTGAAGCAATAATTTTAGTAGATTGCACCAATAGATTTCTGCAGAATTTGTAAACAATAGTCTTGCATTGGCATAGGTCTTTACAAATAAAGCTATGTATTTAATAGTTTTTAAAATTTGAATATTTGGCTTTTTTTTTTTTTTTAAAGTACTCACATATTGGTCAAAATCTACTCCAGCCATGACAAAAAGAAGCTTCACTTAGGACTTCAGGAGCAGAAGACTTAAATGTGTTTATCCAGACACAAATGCAGCTATCCTTTGGTGTTATTTTGAAATTCACAGGAAAAACTACTGAAGAAATCAGGACAATTATTTAAAGATTTGGGTACAGCTATTTCTGGTCAACTGTTAAGTGCTTCAGGAAGCAGAGCTCCAGCACCCAAAGTGGGAATCTGCCAAGGCACCAAGCTTGCTGCCTTTGTCCCTTGCAGAAGGCTCCCAGGATCACTGCCTGCAATTACTCTGTCTTTAGGAGTCTGAGCATGCTCTCTTCCTCTATATGAATGTGCTGAACATTCATAGCTAACACATTCACAGGTATAAATAAAATAAATAATAATAATAAAAGAAAGAAATTGCACGTACATGTGTTCCCTCTACCTGTAAAGTGCATTAATTCCATCCCACACTGTAAAGCTTATAAAAAGTGATGTGCAAATCCTCAGAAGGCACAAGTTCGCATGGACCCATTAAAATCAATGGGATTATTCAGAAGAGGGCAAGGGGTGCTTGGCTGGAGGAGTTTATATATCAAGAACCTTCTTTTTTTCTTTAAGAAAAAGTTACATTGCATCTTTTCTGTAACTACTTCTCCAAAAGCACAGGGATCCCTCCCTGCTAAGCTGACGTACAAACAGCATTGTAGTTAATGGTTATTACACAAACTACCGCAGCCTGTAGGAAACCTACCCATGGACTAAGACATCATTGTCCCAGACAGCACATAGCCAAAACACAGATTTTCCTCCAGAAAGCATATAGTATTAGTTAACCAGGTGGGTCAATAGAGCAAAGGTACCATATGACTCAGCATAGGTCATATGCTTTTCTGGAGCCTAATCACTTCGATCTTCTACAGGCACGTTGGCCAGAGTAAGGCAATGGTTTCACAAAAAACAACTTCATTAGTGGTTAGAGTCACCAAGAGAAAAAACAGGAAGCAGCAAAAAAATTCAAAGTATTAGGAAAAGCTGTTTGATTTCTTGTCTGCTCCCTGCTGCTCAGAAAACTGCCTTATAAAACTGGTCCAAGATATTTGCCCTTGTACTCAGCGGGGAAAAGACAACACTGTCCTTTCCCCACTGTATCACTATCAGCTGCCCCAGGTGAGCAGGAACTGCCCCTCCCCTTGTCCCCACAGTCCTGACAAGTTCATGCAAGAGAGCTCAGCTCCTCCCCACTGCCCTGACTGAGGTCCAAGCAGGCAGGGATGCGCTGTGCCATCCCACCGGCAGGTTCAGGAGAGCGTCCAGGCACCCTGAAATGCACCCAAAACCTCACCAGCAATGCATGAGCTTCCTGGCTGCTAAGAGAGGGAATCACTAGTGCACATCTCCTTTTTAAATTTCCTTTTCTCAAAATATCAGTTGTCACCAGCATTAAAATACATTGTTATCATCATTTAAACAGGAAATTATACAGCCTTCCTCCCGTTCCGAGGCTTGCCTTTAGCGCAAGGAGAAATGCTGAGCATAAGCATGAAGTATCAGACTGTGACCCTGTGCAATAAGAAGCTCCAGGTTACAGATTTTTACCCAGTATTGTTTTCTGCACTGCAAAAGTAGTAATTAAAAAAAGAATAAAATAAAAAAAATCTAAATCAGCTACTGTCTAGTACGGATCTCACCTTGAACTTTGTTTTGTGAGGCGTCTTGCTTCAGCTGGTGTCTACAGTAACTCCTCCCCTTCAAAGACGTCTGCAATCATGTTGAAATACTGCAGCCAGCACCCGGCATCAGCAGTGCTGCCCGACTGCTCACCAGGCAATCCCCATGCTGACAGCACACGTAGCACACGCAGTGCTGCGGAACAGGCTTCTCTCATTTGTCTGTCCATGGTAGGTTTACCATAGCTATTCCACAAGGTGACTGTTGTACATGAATAGAAAAATATAACCTTTAAAATAACAACTGTTCAGCAATCTGCTCTTTATTTTGCATCTAACTGAATTGGAAGAAATGGGAGCAAAATAGGAATCTTAACATGACTGTGTAAGAAAAGATCAAGAAACAAATCTTTGAAGAACTTGCATTTAGAAACACTACGTGAGTACTGAACAGGTATCAGAAATTTTAACAGAGCCCCCAGCAAGTATTGATATGGGTCAGAGCCTAAATATAGATGTCAGCAGAATACAGCAATCAAATGGAAATTCATAAACAAGCTTCCATACCCAATTTTGAGAGATGGAGAAGGCTTTTGGGGGGTTTTGTTTGATTGCTTGTTCTTTTGGGGAGGAGGTGTGTGGTTTTTGGTTTTGTCAGCATTTTTTTGGGGAGTGGGTTTTTGTCATGTGGGGTTCTTGTTTGTTTGTTTGTTTTCTAAATCACTTGTAAAATGTTGTTCTCATAAAAATAGCATATCACAGGGCTGTGGGCAGTGCTGGTGAGCACTGCCTCAAGCACATTCTGGTTTCCTAGCCATTCTGAAACAGCTGCATGAAATGATTAGTCCAAAATACTGAATTCAAGCCTAGGCCCAAATATTTAAATTTTAATCATATTAAACAGGTTTTAGGATAAAAGCAGAGGAAGTATG